AAACGTTGTACGTAGTCTAATGATTGTTTGTAGCATTTTTTCAATAAGTTATGAGAATCATAGATGAGAAGTGGAAAAGAAAATATTGCATCCTTATATTTTTATATATAGATTTATCTTCCCAATATTATTAATAAAATTCTTACAAGTTCAGTTGATTGATTTTACAAACCACTTTTTATTTTCAAATCCATTTTGTTCGATGTTAGTATATACTATATATACTCATTGAATTCAACATAAAATTCAAAATCCTTCAAAAGTTTTCATAGATCTACGAACGAATATAAAAAATGGTTTCTTTAGCGACTCTTAAACCGAATGAAACTACTTGCATTATTGTTTACTAGTATTAAGGCATGTGCGTATGCACGGACTTCAATTAAATTTGGCTTAAAAACTGGAATTTGGTTAAATTTGTAGTCTATTAGCAAACACAAAATAAAATTTAAAACCAAAGATTTTATATGAATCGAAATTGACTATCGTACAGATAAGATCAAAAGCTTATTTCGCCAACACATGTGCTACGTAATTGGCTTCTATATGAATAGATATTAGTGCTACCATAATACAATAGCCTACATACGCATCCAGGACAATTTGACAGAAGGTTGCCGTTGCCACACAAATGCTTAGCGTAATCTTCCTCATACATTTTTATATATCTCAGACAAAGCAAAAAAAATTAGCGTGATCTTTGACAATGTTCAAATCTGAGGAGCAAAAGAAGAAAATATATTAATAACATACTTCCCTAATATTGAAAGAACAAAACATACCATTCAAAACAAAAGGAAACCAGAATGATAAATTGATGATATTTCATAAGAACAATCTCACTTTAAAACTAAATTGTACAACTCAAGAAATGATTTTAACCTTACATGTTTTTTTTAGAACATTCCGACGAGATACTATGTTAAGTGTGATACCAACAAATCCCAACACACATTTTCGAAATATAAGAGGAGGACACCAATATAATCACAATATATTTTTTAACCAAGATCATGAATGAAATGACACAAAAATATCGAAGCTATAATAGCTTCTAAAGCAATATCCCCATAGCTAAATTCAAAGAACCATAGTATATCCCGATAGCTAAAGTCAAAATGTCAAAAGCAATATCCAAAATCAAAAGTACAACTCAACCGTTCTAATACGAACTAAATAATTCCCACACACCCATAAAAGAAACAAATATTATGCACGATGAAAATGAATCTAAACCGCCAACAACAAATAAGACGAAGAAAACATAATAATTTGATCAAATCCCTTATATATTAATTGGAGAGTGATTTGTGAGAATATGCTCTTGTGTCATCTCCACAATCACTCTCACAAAAACAATTGTGACATGGCTTGATAAAATTGTGACATGATAATTTTGAATTAATAACAAATTTTTCTACAACTAAATTTATATATGTTATGATAAATAAATCAAAAAAATTTTTAATCAATATATTATCAGATTTTATTCTAAAACAAATTTGGTTTCTCATTTTAAAATAAGTTAGAAATTAATTATTCTAATAATAAAATTATGAAACATTTTTATAGAATATATATTCTTTTTGAAAATAATAATAAAGACTTACCAAATTTTTAAAAGAGATTTGATATGTTTGTGAAAACAACTTCCCAAGTTTATAACAACAAATATAATTATTCTTTTGAAATATTTTTTTTAACGCAAGACAATTTGAAAATAATAAAAAAAATTTTAATTCGAAAGCAACATTTTTTAAAAAAATCTGTGTTTCAT